TAAATGATTTAGATATTGCGAATGCAAGACCTCAGGCAAGCTGTTATCTATTTTTTTTAATTGTGTTATGACACATAATTCTATTTTGAAATCTTATTTGTATTTCAGGGGGGCCAAGACATAATGTCAATGATGGGCCAGTTGTTGAAACCAAAAAAGACTGAAATCACGGATAAGTTGCGAAAAGAAATTAACAAAGTAGTTAATAAGTATATAGATCAGGGTATTGCCGAATTAGTTCCAGGAGTTCTGTTTATTGATGAGGTTATTATTGTACAATTTAATAAATATGCAATTTTTGTTTACAGTTTCTTATTTAAATTTTTTTTTTTTATGTTTCCTTTTTTTAAAGGTACACTCATTGATGTAACAAAGTCAAGAGGTACCTATTCGGTATCCTAATAATTGAACTAAGAAGTTAATAAACCATGTCAGACCCCAAAGTGGTCATCTTAATATTTAAAAAAAAAAAAAATTATAATATTAATAAAATATAAAATTATTTTATATTAGACAATTATTATTCATCGCCAGTGCGATATATTGCTACTCTATGATTAACCAATCATTTGGTTTTGTTTTGATTTCTATGTTAATCAAAACAAAACAAATAGTGACTGGTTAGAGTTAGATTAAAGTTTGGTTAGAGTAATAGCTAATAATCTTTTTTTAATCCAAAATTTCGTAAAAAATTTTTTTTGTTAGAATAAAAAGAATAGTTTCATAGACAAAATTTTAAATTAGAAATAATTTTTTAAAAAAATCACTTTCGCTTTGATTTTCATATTACACCTGATCCTGCATCTTGATTGGTCAATCAGGGGTAGCGATGCATCATACTGGTGATGAATGATAACTCTCTTTATATTATAATATTCATTAAATATTTAGTAAATATTCAAATATTAATTTAAAATTTTTTAATATTTAAATATTAAAAAGATTGAATAAATAAATATTTGAATATTAAAAAGATTAAACAAATAAATATTCAAATACAAATTTTTTAACCAAATCAGACCTCTATATATATAACTAATTATACTT